AAAAAAACGGAGGGATCATATATTTTTAGGAGAAATTGTATAGCCCAGCTTCTATGAGTAGAAGAATACTAAAAAGCTCGAGTAAGCATTTCGTGTGTAGGGAGTAATGGTGTGTAAGCATAGATCGCAATAAATCAAATTATTGAAATATTTAAATCATAAAGTTGCTGTGGTGCAATGTGCAATAAAATCGCTGAAATAGAATATCGGTTAGTTAAAGAATAGTATTATCGAAGCTGAAAGATAGAAAGCGTGACATATGCAGATGAGAATAAGTTGTTCTTGCATGATAGCCGATTATTATAATTTTATCAAAAGATTATCAAACGAAAATCGCCCGTTCCGCTTATTCGCAATGCAATTAGAAAAACCTATCAAATGATTCGAGCGCATACTCCGCATATTTCGAAAAGTCTAGTAAGTAATCGATCCTTAGGACTCACCTGTAGTACTTCCAGTTTCTGAAACAGAAGAATAAACGACATAATTAGTATTCATCCAATATTTTACCAAATATATTTTATCCTGCTTTTGTATAGAATCCATGAAATAATAATTCACAAAATAATTCGTAAAATTGAATAATAAATTCATTGACGAAATAATAGATAATAAATATTGACGAACACATTTGGTATTCTGTAAAGCCACTAAAACTACTTGTTAATTAATAATTTCCAAAAACCAGCGGGAATTTTCAAATGGAAACCACAAAAGGGAAAGGGGTCCCTTGAATATAGGGGTGAAGCAAGGGCGAAACGTTTACAAGGTTGACACCGGGTGCACACGAAAGGTAATATGACCTTATACCTTCTAATATAAATTGTATAAACGATAGTGCACGAACCTATCAAAAACCTCAAAATTTCTGTATCGGTGTGTCGTCTTAAAAAAATAATACCAAAAGTTCGTACCTTCTTTCGGGCAGGTTTGTCGATACCATTTGGTTTGTTGTCGGATATGTCCTTGAAAATAGTAAAAAAAAATTCGTAAATGGTGACGTCTTAAAAAAAAGTATTGTCCCCGACGAGAAGTGTGACAAAAATGATAGTTCGACTCGAGTGTATTTACAAGAAATAGAAAATATTTGAGAACAGCGAAAAATGTAAAATATCCTTTCGAAAAAAAGAAACGATTAATAGTATATGTATGTTTCGTGTAAATAAGTGTTTTGTGTGCGTGTACCTCCATCTGTGAAACTGTTTCTGAGTCTGGTTCCTCGATAATCGGCTCCGCTACGCTGGATTCGATTACACTCACCACTTCTTCTTCCTCCTCCTCCTCTATTTCCTCCTCGATCACGCTTTCATCGTAATCGGACTCCCCTTCGTCGCTCCAGATCGAATTCTTTACCTTTTGTATCGCAAACGCATTTCAAGAGAGCCGAATTATCGTGCGAACCAAACGAAAAATTAATTCCTCAGTAACTGTACATAAACGGTAACTTCGAAAAACTAATTCTTTGTAAATTGTCAATGGTAACTTCGAAAAATTAATTCTTTGCCAATTGTAAATGGTAACTTCGAAAAATTAATTCTTTGCCAATTCTAAATGGGAACTTCGAAAAATTAATTCTTCACTAATTGCACATAAATGGTAACTTCGAAAAATTAATTTTTTGCCAATTCCAAATGGTAACTTCGAAAAACTAATTCTTTGCCAATTCCAAATGGTAACTCCGAAAAATTAATTCTTGATCAACTAAATTCATAAAGTTCAGCATTGGTCAATAAATCTGTCATAAGTCTTACTAAAATGTTCAAATGTGTAATGTCTTGAAATGCTAATGGAGAACTACGTATTAATGAACTTTCGACAGGTGAAACCTTAAGTTTTCGTTTGAGTGTATACTGTTATGTTTCAAATGTATATGTATGGGGGATGATCTGTTAGTGACATTGCACTTCAAAAACGAGGGGACACAAAAAGATACTAGGAATAAGCTCCTTCAACAGCAGAATTCGTAGAATGGCCTCAATAATCTCTACCTTCTCTTCTTTCTTTTCTTCTTTCTTTTCTTCTTTCTTTTCGACCTTCTTTTCCTCCTTCTTCTCCTCTTTCTTCTCTTCCTCCTTCTTCTTTTCGACCTTCTTCTTCTTCTTCTCTTCTTCCTCTTCCTCTTTTTTCTCTTCTTCTTTCTTCTATAATATGGACAAGGACATTGCATGCAACATTCAAGGGGACTTCAACGATTGTTCCTCGAAATATTTGGATCTCTTCAGTAAATGAACAAGGGGCTCAAAAGTTTTAATCACTGACAGTTTAAAGTCAGAGACGGTATTATCGTTTCCGGGTAAGGGGTTCAACAGATTTACAGTTCTCAGTTCGAATGAAACAAAGATCACATGGGGCAACGAAGAAGATGTGACACTCAAGATTCATGTTTGATAGGAGCTTGATTTTCTTGAACACTTACCTCCACGACTAATTTAGCCGATGATTCGTCTTCACCGAACTCGTTGCTGACGACTACTTTGTAAGTTCCGGAGAACGAAGTGGAAGCAGATGTGATGGTTAGCTTCATGTCCGTGCCATTGAAGGATATCATGATGTCCTTGGAGGATTTGATCACCGTGGAGTTTCTGGATTTGTTATTTAATATATCAATATCATTAATATTATTTAATGTTACCAATTCATCATCATTATTATTAACACGTTGACTGGCATGGATGGCCACCGATTACCGACGTTTCCGAATTGTTTCAAAACAATCTTCGATAATTGGTTCTGTTTATTGTCGTGACAGTCAACGTATTAATTAGTATCTATCAATATTATTTCACGTTATTCACCTATACCACGAGATGGTCACTTTTCTGTCCATCTTGGAGAGACTGGCGACAAATTCGACCGATTTGCCTTCCTCTATCGTCTGAAATCCGATAGATATATATTGTCAGTAAAATTATAATTATATAACATTTCTTTAAAGTATAATTTTTCTGTTAAAGTACAATAGATAGAGATAGAGATTGTATAGAACGTACCATCGATTTCAAGCCGGAAGCTATCTTCGGCTTTTCACCTTCCTCCATGATCTCCGTGACCTCCACAACTTGAGACGTGGCTTCACCTTTCTCGTTGCGGGCCACCAATTTGTACACACCTTTGTCGGCAGCCGAGACTTGTTCGATTTCTAATTTGACAGCGAACTCTCCCTGTAAACGAAAAAAGGAAGCTCGATTCCTTGTTCTCGTTTCTTATATCTATCAAGCTAACCCAATTTTCTCTCATTAATGTATAATGAACGCATGATATCTGATGTTTTATGCCATTTCATCGAATCGCGCACGATTCATTATGATCTATCAACTTCTTTCACTTCTCCAGAAGCTTTAGGTGAATATAGAAGAAGTATTAAATAAAGGTAATTTAAAGAGAATTTAGTTTGCTTGGAAAGGGTTATTTGGTAGAAATTCAATGAATTTTACTGGTTTGAAATGAAATTGTACCTCTTTCACTTGTTCCACGTGAACTTTGTGCCTAGTGTCTTGTTTAACTGCTTGTGTCTCCTTGAACCAAGTACAGTCGGGCGTGAACTTGGATAGAACGTGGCACTCGACTATCACCGTCTTCTTCTTCACGATCTTGATCACTTTCGGTTTCTCCTTGATCACAGGTATAACTGCAGCGATAAAATAGACGTTCAATCGTCGAAGTGGTTAAGTCCGTGACACAAAAGTCGAGGGAATCGACAAAGTGATATCATTAGAGCGTTAAGCAAACGTTTAGATACCGTAATTAGAAATAATCGAAGAAAGTTCAGGAAACAGCGACATTAGAGACAAACTGAATACATGGATATCTCGATTTTCCAATAATTAAACGTACAGACTATGGATGTTTCCTCGAATTTCAATATTTACCGAAGATCTTTATCAAGTACAAATGTATAAAAATTCGCAATTAGATGATCCATTGGTTTAATGATAGATAGAAAGGTATATAAACTCTCGGATTCACTCACTTTCTACGTTAAGCGTAAGATTGGCGTTCAATTCGCCGAGATCATTCTTGATATTGCATTTGTACAAGCCGGAATCGTCTGGGCCGGGGTCGTTCAGGGTCAGTTTAATGTAATAAATGTCTTCCTTCTCTTTAACGACACTGATCGAAATTTTCGATGATTCCTTCACCACTTTGCCGGCGTGGGTCCACACGATCTCCGGTTTCGGGTTCGCTTTCACTTTGCAGTCCATTATCACGAGTTTGCCCTCATTCTGAGACTGAATGCGAGGCTTCTCGACGAAGGTTGGTCCGTCGCCTTCCGGTTCCGGCTCGGCCTCGATGTTCAGATTCAAATTTGCGTTGCTCTCGCCGTATTCGTTCTGCACGTGACACCTGTAAGTGCCACCGTCCGGCGCCGAAGGATCCTACAATGATTTTTCATTCGTTACTCGCGTAACTTTACACGCTTTCATCATTTCTGCTATAGATACACCTCACTGTCTCTATCGTAAAATATTTCAATCGAAATATTTAAAATAATCACTAAACTTCTCTCGGTGATCTTAATGCATTTATGAGAAACTTGAATGTGAAATATTGCGCGGAATGATCACGATATGGAAAAATATATAAAATATCCGAAGTATAGTCCTTTTTATAATATTTGCTGGGAGGAATTATGCCCCAGTTATGTTCTTAAAACTAGAATTACCGAGTATTTAATTAATATGTAATCCCTATAAAAATTGTAACAATATTCATTATTTTCAGTTTTTTCAGACATTCGTTATAGTATTCCAATGCAACTATTTATTATGAAAAGCAGTTCGAATATTCAATGCTTTTCAGACATCCATAATCGCGAAACAAAGAAATCGAAACCAGTCACTTTGACCGATACAGTATTTCTAGCGTAAAAAGTCTGAATTTGCATAAATTCAACTTAACAATGAAATAAATGAAATAAACCCATCACCGTAGAAATTATGCTTAATATAATCTTAATAAAGATAATAGAAGTCTGTGCTTCTATAAAATTTATTATCTCCTACTATGTTTATATCCATGGAATTTTCAATTTTCTGCTCTCTTTATTTTCAAGAAAATTGGATAATCGTTGTCATACCGTTATCGTTGGGCTCACCTTAATTTCCATAATCAATTCGTACACATCCTCCTCGACGGTCTTGGTCTTGATCGAGATCTTGGAGGACTCCTTTACCACATTGGTCCCGCGGAACCACGTCACGTCCGGTTTCGGGTTCGCCTTGCACTTGCACTTCATCGTGATCAGGGTACCGGTTTCGTTCGGAATGATACGCGGTTTCTCGACGAACGACGGCGCGAAACCAGGTCCCTCTTCTGCATCTTGGAAAGATCCACAGTTAGGCAGGATCCTCTTAAAAAGGCTACGCTTCCTGTTGGAAGCGATTTTCTTCGAACCGCGACTTTCCTAAATTCTATCTCTATTTTCATCTGAATCTTCCGAAATTTATCCAGTTGGAAAATTGCGGTTCGATTTTTAAAAAAAGATACTCTGACAAATATGACCCATGGTAACTCTTAAAATCAGCAGTTAATGCTTTTAAAATTTCATGAAATAAGAACTAACAAGCTGGCTACAATGAATTTTGAAACTATTTAAAAAAAATGTAGTCGGTTTGTAATTAGAAATTTTTACACTACGCAATAATTGTGAAATAAATAGAATTTATTATTATAATAGTAAATATTGTGATACTAAATTACAATCGAATAATTAAATATTGTACAATATAATTATAAGGAAAATTTTCTAAAAATTTGCAATTTATTATTACCAATGAATATATACCATTATATAATAAGTAGAATATTATTATTCATCACTAGCAAGAAATGGTATTTACTTGAGACAAGTGAAAAGAAAATCACTGTATCATCCGCGACCATTGATCACTGTAATTCTATGTTTCTAATCCCTTTCTATTTAATGAATCGAATAACTTACGGTTACCATGGATCACTACGAAACCACAAAAGGTCTGAGACCCTTCTCAACGTTAGTGAATGTTGACGGTGTTAATCGTATGCTTTCCTCGCGATCCCCGTCTGAATTCACGGCACTAGCTCTCCCTTCAGGATTCAGACCGGGACGCGTGAGTTAAGAAGCGGTGAGAGAACGACTCGTTACAACGATTAGTTAGCGGTAGCGCAACGTTCTTGAATACTTACCTGGTCTCCGGAAAGATGCGCGAAACTTATACATACAATCCGCACTCGGATAATCGCGATCATTGATATATAAGATAGAGAAACCGCGTTCCTTTGGGAAGCGCTTCCGAACGACTTTCTGACAGGAAGAACGTGCTAGGAAGTGCACTCCACGAGAAAAAGGTGGCACATCCAGCAAACCTTCGTAATAACTTTATCCACTTCGGATCTTCAAGAAACTTCATTGTGCAATACAATTTAAACCTTTGCACTCGGCAGTTTGGCACTAAGAATATTCAATATTTTCTGATGAGACAAGGACGATGTTTTTTGAAACTAACGTTACTTTACACGGAAATTAAAGAACGGAACTATTATGTTTCGATATTTCACGTAGTGACGCATTATACAAAGTTCAGTAATAAATATTAAATATTAAATATTAAATATTAAATTTTAGAACTTTCCTGATCAAATCAAATGAAATGAGATTCATCTTTCAAGTGCAAAGCGTTACAATCTCTATACACGATAAAACTTATCCAAAGACATATCCCAAGGCAAACGATGGCTTTGACTCTTCTCCATTCTCCACGCGATACGAACATAACAATCATACAAACAATAAAAAAGTCACAAACCCATCGCTCACCTCACGACACATCCACAAACAAGTCTCACCATATAGAAAACCCTTTCTCAACATCAGATATCATATTCCACAATAAAATTCCACAGAGACAAAAAGTCGATTAACTTATCGCAAAGAAATCGCAAAAACCAAGCCCGCTCGATGCACCCTCCTTTCATCGCGGAGCGCAGGTGCGAAGGGTCTTCTCATGGGACGTTGCGTCTCGTTGGTCTCTCGTACGGTTCCCAAAAAGTCAAAATTCAAATGAAAAAAGTAGAAACGTCTGAAAAATAGCGGAAGAAAACTGATTCCACGAGAAAAAGGAGCAACGCCGTTGTCTTTTTGTCCAGGAGAGCGGCGAAACCGGAGGAACCGACGAGAGAGCTCCGCTGTCGCCCCAGCGAGCGCCGGAAGTCGAAGGACTTGCCTTGAAAGTTGAGGGAGATGTTGGCGTTACTCTCGCCGAAGTTGTTAAACGCGTTGCACCGGTAATTCCCGCCGTCCGCCTTCGTCGGATTCGAGATCTCGAGCGTGAGCAAATACGTGTCCTTCCCAGTCGCCTTGCGTGACATCTTCACGCGTTTGCTGTCGGCGATCGGCTTCTGGCCCTGGTACCAGGTTATGTCCGGCACAGGGTGGGCCTCCAGGATACACTCCATGATGAGGACGTCGCCCTCCTGTCGGATCGTCGGTTTCTTCGGGAAACGCGGCGGCTTACCGTCCGGTATTCTGCGTGTGATCGATACGTGAAAAAAAAAGATCGTTCGCTGGTCCCGCACCACGGTGAGTTTACCCTTCCTTTCATCGGAGCCTCGGGTCACCGCGTCGTTAACAGATTTTTCTGTTGTCGAGGTAATAGTGAGATGCAATTGCTGCGATTGAAGTTCTATATTTTTGGATAACGGAAAGTCTCCCATTTGATTGTACTATTTTATTGGTGTTAATAAGTTTGTAACATTAACCTGTTCTTTAGTTTCTGTTTCGTAACTCAAGTCCTCGAATGTTTTCAGGAAGTTTGTTTCATGTGATACTGTTAAATGAGTTGAAAATGCTGTTTGAGTAAAGGTTGATGCAACTCTAATATGATAATTGCGTCCTCAATTCTATTTCCAATTTTCGATTTATTTCTAATCGTATCTCATAGCGGTACAGTTTCCTTTCGAATGCAAAGCATTATTTAATGAACCTCTTAGATAAAAGAATTCTAACAAAATAATTTTAAATGATTTTAAATTAAACAATTTGCACGAATTTTAAATAATTAAATAATGATTAATTTTAAATAACTTTTATCAATTTTAAATGACCAAATACTAAATAATTTGAAATTTGGTGATATAGGAGGCTTTCCGCAGGCAAAATCTACAGATAAATCTCTAACGTCGCAACGTTCGCCGAGGCTCGAACCGTGCACCGTCGAATGCGTACTTCAGCTTGTCGCCCCCCTCGAAGTTCAGATTAATCGTTGCTACTCCTTGCCCGTGCTTGTTCTTCGCGAGGGCTCTATATTCGCCGGCGTCTCCCTTCGCCACGTTGTCGATCTTCAATCTGACGAGGTGGTACAGCTTCTGATCGAGTTCCAGGGACATGCTGAATCTTCCTCCTTCTTTCACCTCTTCGGTACCGTGATACCTAATTAATCGTGCGCGTGTCAGAAACGTGTCCCGCGTGCTCGGATTAGCCTCTTCCAGAGCGGCGTGCAGGGATTTGGAAGTACGCGACGCCGAGAAAATGGACTTGGGATAGTTTTCTTCTAAATTGGACTTCTAGGGGAACAAAGGGAACCCGATTATTTTGAAACTGGGGAGAAGTGGGACGGAATAGTTGCCACTTTATATTTTCACTTAAATATTTATCGAGGAATAATCGAATTACAACGAATCTAATAGTATTTAATACTCTGACTCACTGGGCAACAGTTACGCATAATGTCGGAGGATATTACAGGACATTAAAGGATGTTAAGAGTAAAGGCAAATGCACATGAGTGGTTTCCGGCATAATCTTGCAGTGATAATTGTTTCGGAAGTATACAGACACAGAGTTATTTCGCCAAAAAGGACGGTAACGGAACTTTGTGTTTCTACTCTTCTAAACCGATCAAAATTTCTGAAGAAATAAACACAAAATTGTTTCAACTTTCGAAAAAAAATGATAAGAACACTTTGTTTCTATTCTTCCAAAACAATCGAAATCTCGGAAGAATGAGAACACAAGGTTATTTCAACTTTCAAAAAGAATAATAAAGACCATTCGTGTCTCTATTCTTCGGAAAACAATTGCCTCGAACCGCTGTTGTGCATTTGGCTTAAAGAGAAATGGTGCAGGCATCTCGGCGTACTTCCGCATGCACGTGGACACGATTAATCTTACCACTTGACACTCGGTTTCGGATCGCCGACTAATCGGCATTCGAAGGTGATGGTGTTACCGTCGTCGGATTGCCTTATTACCGGTCGTTCGGTGAAGGTCGGTTTAATACCGTCGTCGGGTACGGGCGCCTCGTCGCCTACGTTCACACAAATCAATTCTACGTGTCGATATCCCTTTACAGTAGCTTTCGATCTGTCGCTTAATCCCTTCGCA